TTTAGCAGTGCAGCAGGAAGGGGCCCCGTCTGCATGCCTGCTTTGGCCCAAGTTGGGGATGGGGGAATGCCATGACCATGAGTGCTCACCAGCCCCAGCCAGGGGGTGAGGGGGTGTCATAACTGCCACCTACACTTGCGGACTAGAGTAGCAAGGCTAGGGAGAGAATGCTGTGATTGTCCATGATCGCTTGCTCCTGCCAGGAAGCCAGGAATTCCTGCAGCCTCCCAAGATATACAGCCTCAGCAAGGCGGCAGGATGGTCCCATAACCGTTCACCCCTGCTGGACCTGGTGAGGCAGTGGGAGGGTGCTTGTGCCCAAGCACCTGGTCTGCACTAGCAGTGTAGGTGGAGAGCTACAGATGGTGTCCCCCAGCGCCTCCAGCTCTGGAGAGAGCACAGACTGTCCCCTGCTCCTCCAGCAAATGCCCCCAGACCAGCAGATGAATCTCCTTTACGTACGGTCCAGGTGCTTTTGAAATTGGTGCTTTTTTGCTAGGTTCTGCAGAAAGTGAGACTGCAGGTGATCCCTTTAAAAGGAGGATCTCAGTTTCCTATGGCACTTGGGTTCCTTGGATGTCAACTCTGTTGGGTTTCTAAGCCAGATGTTTTTGGGAGCTCGTCTCTCTGATGCAGATCCCAAGGGCTGGAGGGCCTGATATGGGGCACTGTGACCCCTCACTCCTCCAGGAGAAGTGTCTGTCCAGTGAGATCCTTCCCTCTGGTGGGTCACTGCAGTTGGGGGTGGGGGGGTTGGCAGGACCTTGTCCCTGCCTCTCCCATCCATCTCAGTGCAGTCCTTTTATCTTTTTTTGTGGGGAGCAGTTCATCTAGTTTTCAAATCTTTTTTCCAGAGGGAGATGATCCGTATGTAGCTGTTGATTTCATGTGTCCTTGGCAGGAGGGGAATTCAGTACTTTCCTACACAGCCATCTTGGACTCTTTTTTTTTGCAAATCATCTTTATAGTACCCTGATTCAGGAGGAATTGAAAATTTCTCAGTAGCTTCAGCAAAAATGAGCCCAGAGGACCTCGAGTGACCTGGTTTTAGCCATGTCCATCCCTGGGGCTGGGGCATTCAGGGTCAGCCCCAGCTGAGGAGTGGTTGAGGAACGCATATGCCGCATGTTTGTCAGAAGTAGTAGGTGTGAGGTCATGGGCATTTTCCCGTTGGCACCGAGCTGCCTTAGGAAGAAAGAAGCAGCATGTTTCAGCCCTACTCCGCAAGAATATTTGGGGTTGGTTCTGTTGTCTGCAGGAAGATGTGACCCCAGGCCTGAGTTGTCACTCTATTTTTAAGAAGAGTGCTTTCAGGTACAACATCTTTCATTTTGTTTTAAAGATTTTTTATTTACTTACTTGACAGACAGAGATCATAAGTAGGCAGAGAGGCAGGCAGAGAGAGAAAGGGGGAAGCAGGCTCCCCGCTGAGCAGAGAGACCGAGGCGGGGCTCGATCCCACGACACTGAGTTCTTGACCTGCGCTGAAGGCAGAGGCTTAACCCACTGAGCCATCCAGGCACCCCAGGTGCAGCATCTTTTCTTTGAACTGCTCCTGGCCAGGCTGGCCCATAGCCCCATGCTCAGAGCACATGCTGGCCTTATTACCCTTTCTCTCCTATGGATGCTTTCCCTTTACAAGGGAAGTGATAATGGGTGGAGGAAACAAGAGATGGCTTTTAAAGAGTGTTCACCTTCCTTTTTCTTTTCTACGCCAACCCAAATTATGATAAATGTTTCATCATATTCTGGTACACACACACCTTTGTGTCCTTAAGATTTAACGAAAGAGTATTTACTCCTTACTAAATGCAGTGGGCTCTAATATTTTCCTCTTCTGTTTCTTTGTATTAACATACACACACATGCTGGTCACAGCGGCTCTAAATTCATTTCACAACCACTAAATGGCAGCTCAGACTTTGAAAAAGAAATGAATTAAATCATTGAAAAACAAGCAACAATGGTATATTCTTTTGCTTGGGCTGCTGTAACAAAGACCCACTGACTGGGTGTCCTCAGCAGCAGAGATGTGCCCTCTCAGAGCTCCAAGGACGAGCAGTCCACTTGTCGGTGGGGTGGCTTCCTTTGGAGGGGGAGGGGGAGTCCGCTGCAGGCCTCCCTGCCAGCTCCTGGTCCTTTGTGAGCCGTCTTTGATGTTCCTTAGCTTGTAGAGACTTCACCCCCATTCCTGCCTTCATCTTCACATGGTGTTCTCCCTGCATACTTGTCTGTGTGCAGGCTTCCCTCCTTTTAAGGATACCAGTCATTGGATTAGGGTCCCACCCTCTTCTCATATAACCTGACCCAATGGTGTCTAATAACCACTGATAACATCTGCAGGGACCCCGTTCCCCAGTCAGGTCACATGTTTAGGTACTAGGGGCTAAGACTTTTCCATATGAATTTTGTTTTGGGGTGGGGGGAGCAGAACTCAACCCATAACAAATGATAAAAATACAAAATTGAAAAGTCATAATAGAAGTTCCCAACTAACTGAGCTCTTACGACGTGGCAGACTCTCAGCCAGGCATTTTATTCCATGAACTCAGTAAATCTTCCTTGCCCCATAGGATAGTTGAGGAAGCCAAAGCTGAGAGAGGTCAGTCTCCCAGATTTAAACTTTGGTCTCCTTCAGAGGGTATCCTTGAGGGTAAATCTGACATGGTACTTGCTCTTGCAACTAAACTTTTTGGGCAAATGCCTCGATTTTGTGTTTGATTTCTGTATAAAACATAACTGATTCCCTTATAAAAATATAACCTCTTCATATCAGGAATGAGCGCTTCCCAGTCGTTCTAATGACTTCATGCTTTCTTTTCCTTCCATTATAATTGTTAGCATAGTGTTGATTTTGTTCAGTTTTTGTAAACAGTGAGTATTTTTCAAAATTCCTATAATTTTTGAGTGATTTTTTTTTTTTTAAAGATTTTATTCGAGACCGAGAGAGAGAACATGGGTGTTCTTGGGCAAGGGGAGAGGCAGAGAGAGAATCTCAAGCAGACTCTGTACTGTGTATAGAGTCAAGGCAGGGCTCCATCTTAGGACTCTGAGATCATGACCTGAGCTAGAACCAAGAGTCAGATGCTCAACCAACTGAGCCACCCAGATGCCCCTTGAAAAATTTTTTTAAGATTTATTTATTTATTTTTAGGGGTGCCTGGGTGGCTCAGTCAGTTAAACATCTGCCTTCAGCTCAAGTCACGATCCCAGAGTCCTGGGATTGAGCCCCATGTTGGGCTTCCTGGTCAGTGTGGAGTCTGTTTCTCCCTCTGCCCCTCCCTCCTGCTTGTGCTCCCTCTCTGTCTCTTTCAGATTAAAAAAAAAATTTTTTTTTAAAGATTATATTTATTTATTTGACAGAGAGAGAGAGAGAGAGATCACAAGTAGGCAGAGAGGCAGGCAGAGAGAGAGGGGGAAGCAGGCTCTCCTCTGAGCAAAGAGCCAACGTGGGGCTCGATCCCAGGACCCCGGGATCATGACCTGAGCCGAAGGCAGAGGCTTTAACCCACTGAGCCACCCAGGCGCCCCATCTTTCAGATAAATTTTTTAAATATCTTTAAAAAAATTTTTTTTAATTTATTTATCTTGAGAGAGAGGGAGAGAGAGCACACAGGCGCAGGAGAGGGGCATGGGAAGAGGAAGAGAGAAAACTCAAGCTGACTCCACGCTGAGTGCAGAGCCTGATGTCGGCTGGATCTCACAACCCTGAGACCATAATCTAAGCTGAACTCCAGAGTCGGATGCTCAACCGACTGAGTCCCCCAGGCTCCCTGAGTGATACTTCTTTTGACATAGCTTATGCCTGATGTTAATATTGAAGACATTAATTTAGAGAAACTTAGTGAATGTACCCTTATCCCAGTACAAGGAATATGTGTGGAATGTGGGTATTCTATTTTGTGTTATGTTACTCAAATACAAAATAAAAGAAATTTTTGACTTAAGAAAGTGAAACCAAATTGAGTCTCCTGGATTTCAGAACCCATGCTTTTCCCTTGTTTGCCTTCGTGCTGTACCTCTTCATCACGCAGGAGCCAGACAAGCTCATTTGGAGCTTGAAAATTGAAATGCTACGCACAGGTAATAAATGTACTACAAAATCTCACTGAAGTTCATGGCAAAGATGACCCCTTAAAGGACGCACAGGTGAGGGTCCCTAGGGCCCTATCAGAGGCCTGGGAGGTATGTGCTCTTGGGGCAGGAAGTGCCAGTAAACTCCTGGCTTTGTCCCCTGAACTCATCATCCCCGCACACTGCCGCATTCCTAACAATGCCCAGCAACCAGCCAGACAAGGCACTGTCTCCCTTTGTGCTTCCCTATCCTTATTCTGAATTTAGATCAGGGTGAAGAGTAGAGAGAAGGAAATGAGCCAGAAAATAGAAAATTAATACTTGGTGGAGTCGTCATATTTTAATATTAATTTATAGGCAATGTCAGATAACCAGAGTTAAATCTTTTTATCAGCGGGCTGCTCTAGGGTTTAAAAATTGGCATCCATCATTGTAAATCAGGTCTCAGGAGCCCTGGGGAATGGTCTCTAGGGATGAGGGTTGATCTAGGGTGGGCAGAAATGTAAATACTTGATTAGCTGTGTCCTGTTCTTTCACACCAACCCTAAAATATTTCTACATCACACTGAGTGACAATGGTATGTTAAATAGTAACGGGAGGGAAGAAGCTATTCAGGTTCATGGTTAGCCTACTTTTAATACCTGTCTTCTTCCCTGTCAATCCTAGGAAACTGTTGTGCGAGAGGCACTCGTTTCAGGGTCGTATTCCTGGCTCATGGTTCTAGGGAGGGGCTTACCCTCTGTCTGCTGAGCCCCAGACAGCACACCCTTTTTTCCCCAGCTGGCCAGATGTCCCCCCCCCCCTTTTTTTTTTTTTTTTTTTTTTGCCATGAGCCTGTGAGCAGGAACACCCGCGGGTTTGACACATTGGTAGCAGGGTGACCTTCCGTGACTCAGGTCCCACCTCTTATCTCTTGTCATTGCAGCTCTTTGCCGGGGACGCGTGGTGAGAGTCCCCACAGGGAGCCTGGTGCGGGTGGTGGGCACTGAGCTGGTCATCCCCTGCAACGTCAGTGACTATGACGGCCCCAGCGAGCAGAACTTTGACTGGAGCTTCTCGTCTTCGGGGAGCAGCTTCGTGGAGCTTGCCAGCACCTGGGAGGCGGGCTTTGCAGCCCAGCTGTACCGTGAACGCCTGCAGCGGGGCGAGATCGTCCTGAGGAGGACTGCCAACGATGCTGTGGAGCTCCACATCAAGAACGTCCAGACCTCAGACGAAGGCCACTACAAATGTTCGACCCCCAGCACAGACGCCACTGTGCAGGGCAACTATGAGGATACAGTGCAGGTCAAAGGTACATCCTCATGGAGGGGTCATCACATCAGGGGCCAGACTTTTCTCGGCCACTCTGCTTTGTCAAGAAACTTACTAATCCTCTGGGTCTCTGCCCCCCTCCTCGGTCCAGTGAACAGAAGTGTCTTACTTGATTGAAAGGAGAGGATAGACCAGGTCCCCTCTGAGGGCCCTTTCTCTTCCCTGTGATTCTGAACCAACCGTGGCTGGCGTGGTGGCAGAGCCCAGCTCTGAGCCAGGTTGCCTGCACTCAGTCTGATTGCTGGCTCTACTGCTTGTCACCAACTGGCCATGGGCATGTTATGTGCCTCAGCTTCCTCCTCTGTGAAACAGGGCTTCCCTTAAAGGTTATGAGGACAAGGTGAGTTAGCGTGTGTCAGGCCTCAGAGCAGTTCCATAGTCAGCATTCATAAGGTTTGCACTCAGAAGGTGATGGTCATGACGATGTTTACTTTTATGGGGATATCAGATGCTTTGAAACTCATGTCTGTCTTTGTGCACTTCACAAAGGGCAGTTTGTTCTGGAATTTGTTGGGGGTTATATGTAGAGAAAGAACGATGTCGTCACTGCTAGCTTATGATGGAACCCTACGAGCCTATTGGCCTGATTCTGCAGAGAATCTCGCCTTATATATATGGAAGGTTTGGGGTTTTGTGGGGTTTTTGTTTTTTGTTTTTTGTTTTTTTCCATTTTCTAAGTCCTATTAGATTTATTCCCACATTCAGTTCTCTAACCCAATGAAGAAGATCAGGCAGACTATTTCCCTGATTTACAAATGAGAAAATGAAAGAGCATAGGTTAATTACTTGGCCAAATATCATATAGCTAATTGGTAAATGAGCAAGAACAAAGTAATTTTGGGTCAATAAAATAGAAGCCTGATTGTTGCTATTATTACTTAATGATGCATTTCTTTGTATCCTGCCTTATTCCAAAAAGCATTTATATCAGAATAGGGTGTGTAGGTAAAGATCGGGACAGTAGAAGATATACGTGATGATCTAAAAAGAAGGTGCTGATCACCAGACACATGAAGAAATGCTCAACATCACTCAGCATCAGGGAAATACAAATCAAAACCTCAATGAGATACCACCTCACACCAGTCAGAATGGCTAAAATTAACAAGTCAGGAAACGACAGATGTTGGTAAGGAACCCTCCTACACTGTTGGTGGGAATGCAAGGTTGGTGCAGCCACTCTGGAAAACAGTAGGGAGGCTACTCAAAAATTTGAAAATAGAGCTACCCTATGACTCAGCGATCACACTACTGGATATTTACCCAAAGATACAAATGTAGTGATCCGAAGGGGCATGTGCACCCGGATGTTTATAGCAGCAATGTGCACAATAGCCGAACTATGGGAAGAGCCCAGATGTCCATCAACAGATGAATGGGTAAAGAAGAGGTGATATAGATATACAATGGAATACTATGCAGCCATCAAACAATGAAATCTTGCTTTTTTCAACCATGTGACTAGAACTAGAGGGTTTTATGGTAAGCCAACTAAGAGAATCAGAGAAAGACAATTATCATATGATCTCCGTGACAGGAAGAATTTTAGAAATAAGACAGAGGATTATAGGGGAAGGGAGGGAAAAATGAAACAAGATGAAACCAGAGAGGGAGACAAACCATAAGAGACTCTTAATCTCAGGAGAAACAAACTGAGGTTGCTGGAGTGGAGGGGGTTGGGGAGGATAAGGTGGCTGGGTGGTGGACACTGGGGAGGTATGTGGTATGGTGAACACTGTGAATTTTGTAAGACTGATGATTCACAGACCTGTACCCCTGAAACAAATAATACATTATATATTAAGAAAAAAAAAAGAAAAAAATAAAAAGAAGGGGATGATCCTGGTGTTTATCCCCCTCTGTAATGATGTACAGAACCCCGGCATGTTTTAGGGGCTGTTCCCTCCATTCAACTCAGGAGGGAATAAAACAACCATATCCATTATGTAGGTATCAAAACATCAAATCTACCTCTTCTTTGTAGGAAATCCTAAAGATGTCTGTTTTTTTTTTTTTTTTTAAGATTTTATATATTTATTCGACAGTGAGAGACACAGTGAGAGAGGGAACACAAGCAGGGGGAGTGGGAGAGGGAGAGGCAGCCTTTCCGCTGAGCAGGGAGCCTGATGCTGGGCTCCATCCCAGGATTCTGGGACCATGACCTGAGCTGAAGGCAGACACTTAACCACTGAGCCACCCAGGCGCCTCCTAAAGATGTCTTTTAGAAAAAAGTCCCGCAAGACATTCTTACACTGAAGTTAAATAATGTGTTGCTTTTAGTTATCACACCCATGCTGTACCTTCATTAGGTTAGGGGCACACTTACCTCCCCTGTAATTCTCATCTTGAGGACTAGGGGGCAGCTGGAGAATTCCCACGACCGTGTCCCCCAGTGTCTTCCTGTTTCTTCTCCAGTCTTTGGAAGGAAGGAGCAAGGAGAGGCTTTTCTTGTGTGAGGGAAGCAGATAGATGGCCATGAATGAGACTGGCTGGCTGCCCAGGTGGGGCCTCTGGTGGGGTCCGGGGTCTTTCTGGCCTTCAGCTTTGTGGGTCTTGAAACTGTTCAGCCATGTGCTGACAGATATCTGGCCATGAGAACCGAGTCCTGTTAACTGGACTCCCAGACTGATGGATATACTAGAAGGTCATTATATTCATTTTGCTGTAGAGATGGGTCTTTGGGATAGGTCTTTCTGAGGACTGAACAGTTTTTTTTCCTCAAGGACACTGAATTAGTTTCCAAATGTGGAATTTCGAGAAAAACGAAAGACGTCATGAATAGTAGCGTTGGAGGGTTCTTTTATCCAGCTTTGTAGACAAGCCTCAGAGATTGTCCACGCCCCTTCGTAGAGGCCTTTTCTCTGATTATTTTGATTATCGCTTCCCTTCCTAATTAGCACTCACCAATACTTTCTGGCTTTCTGGCCCCCTCATTCTAGACTTTGTAAAGAGCCCACCTTTTCCCAAATGGCCCTAATAGGGTACATAGTTGAGGGTTCAGTTTTCCTTGACCAGTTTTTTTTTCTGCCTGTACATTCTACTCTCCCTCGTTGTTTGTAAGCATTTCCCAGGCCTTGGGGCACAGGCAGCTCATGCCAGCTTCTGCCCTCCTTGGATCATGCTGCTTTACCTGGTATTAGATTCTGGAGCCCGGTACCCTAACAGGAATTTTACCCCTATTGCTGAGCACCATTCACCTTGGCTTATCATTCCTTCAACTCTGTCGCCTCCCTGAGATGGGTCCAGTTGTCATCCCTTTTTAGAGATGAGGAAACTGAGGCTCAGAGGAGTGAAGTAACTTGCTCAGGGGTGGCAGAAACCCATCCCCAAGGCACAGCTCCCGAAAGAGAGGGAGTGTTCTCCACTCAGTTCTAGACTGCGGGGTGGGAGTGGGGGAGGGAGGGTGGTCTTTAGTGCCTCTTCTTTTTTCTTTTTTTTCTTGTTTCCCCCCCCCCCCCAACCCCTTTCCTTTTTCCCTTTTCTTTTTTCTTTTCCGGGTCAGAAAGTCAGTTGGGATTACACACGAATTAAAATGGGAGAGCGTTCCCTCGTGGGCATTAGAACAGGGCAAGGGCACCATGCCACACAACCCCCCGCGGAGAATCCCCCCAGAAGGGGCGGGGGCCGGCGGGGGAGGGGGCATGGCGCAGCACGCTGACGGCTGTGCTTCCTCCCGCAGTGCTGGCCGATGCCCTGCACGTGGCCGCCGCCCCGTCACCCGCCCCGGGACTGAGCCTGCGCCTGGGTGAGCCGTTCGAGCTGCGCTGCGCGGCCTCCACGGCGTCGCCGCTGCACACGCACCTGGCGCTGCTGTGGGAGCTGCAGCGCGGCGCGGCCCGGCGGAGCGTGCTGGCCCTGACCCACGAGGGCCGCTTCCGCCCGGGGCCCGGGTACGAGCAGCGCTACCGCGCCGGCGACATGCGCCTGGACACCGTGGGCGGCGACGGCTACCGCTTGTCGGTGGCCCACGCCCTGGCCTCGGACCAGGGCTCCTACCGGTGCGTGGTCAGCGAGTGGATCGGAGAGCAGGGCAGCTGGCAAGAGATTCAAGAGAAAGCCGTGGAAGTGGCCACCGTGCTGATCCAGCCCACAGGTGAGCTTCTGGAACGTGTCTGGCTTACACTCTGGCCGGGACGGGGTCAAGAACCAGGCGGGAGCCCGGTCCTCTGCTGACAGGGTTGTTGGAGCTGGCCGCGTGAGGCCTCCCGTCGAGGGCCTGGGGAAGTGGGGTGGTGGTGAGTTTGAGAAAGGTGTATGCGTTTCGTGCCCGGGTGCCTACGGCTTTTCTTTACAGCGGCTTCTCCTCTGGATTGGTACTCCTGGGACGTTGCAGGTTGCATAAAATACTAAGACAGTTGTTAACGGCAAGATTAAGTCTCTTCAAGTGCCAGAATGAGGTCTGACCTGGTGTTTGGGGGACTTTGGGGCCGAGCTGCCCCCACTCTGCACCCTTTATTTTGTTTTGGTTTTATCACATTTGGGTGTTTCCCGAATTTCTGGCTTGGCTGTTTGGCACAACTGTTGGAATGCATCTGGCTCACTACCTGCTGTCTGGTGTACTGTAGATCCTCTAGCTGTGCGGTCCCAGCTAGGTGAGACTTCTCTAGGCCTGGGCCTCTTCTCGTGCTGTGTATGACACATTCCCCAGGAGTGTGCCTCCAGCCCTGGGGTCTCCCTGCGAGAAGTTCTCTGTCCTCTCACCTGGAACCAGCCTTTGTTTTTGAAAAAAACACATAACGTACTTTCCTACTCCTCCTAGAAAGTAAGAAAATACAAGATACATTTTTTAAAAACCCATCAAAAGTAAGCTATTACTGATTCAGTGTCCATTGGTAAAGAACCTACTGGATAATCAGCTCTGTCTGGGCCCTGGGGTCAGAGGTGCTTGAGGAACGTCCCCATTGAGCCTTGGGCTTTGGCAGAAACAGTATAAAGAGACTATCTCAGGATGAGGTCATTGCTGTAGATGGATGGCTGTCCTGGGTTTTCTGGGAGGCTAACGTCTTCAGATCTGTTGCTGCCGCCTCCTGCTTTGTAAACTGGGAGGACCTCGGGCAGACTCATTTCCTGAGTGTAAATGTGAATGTGTGGCCGCTCTGCTGCTTGGATGGGACGGAAAACAGGAGACAGTCCTCACAGGGAGTATTTTTCCCCTGTAGGCTGCATGGTCCCGAGCACTTTACTCTGCGTTTATGTCACTGCACAGGAGTTGGGTTTGGTAAAAAGCAGGACTAAGGTTCCTGAGCGACTGTGGCCATCAGTGAGGTGGGAAGTGCTCTTGCCGAGGAAAGGAGCTACCCATCTTGGTCAGTCTTGCAGTGGCTGCAGAAATCACTTTCTTTCTTTTCTTCTCTCTCTTTTTTTTTTTAAAGATTTTATTTATTTGACAGAAAGAGATCACAAGCAGGCAGAGAGGCAGGCGGGGGCGGGGGGTGGGGAAGCAGGCTCCCCGCTGAGCAGAGAGCCCAATGCGGGACTCAATTCCAGGACCCTGAGATCATGACCTGAGCCCAAGGCAGCGGCTTAACCCACTGAGCCACCCAGGTGCCCCTAGGTGCTCACTTTCTAAGTGGACTCAGGTCACCTTCCCTTAAGGATGTGATCTGCCTGCAATCTGTCCTAAGAAACGGGGGTATTCAGTTGGCTTCACACAACTGGTCCCTGGGGACAGCACGATTAAGAGGTTCAAATTTGCAACAAGTTATCTTTTTCTGCGGAATTTTGATTGTAAAGGTATTTTTTATTCAGACGAGCCACAAAACCCATAATATCGAGTGTAAGAGTCGGAAACTGAACCTCTTAGGCATGTAATAACATCTCGCTCTCTCCTGAGCCTGGGCTTCATAACCATCTTGTTGCCATGGACCTCTGACAGCCTTGAAGCCCGCAGAACCCTTCTCGGAATTAACGTGTTTTAATTCGTTAAAAATGTACATAAGATGACAAAGGAAAATGATTCTATTGAAATAGTTACTGAAGTATTTTAAGACAAATTTGTTACATAGTAATATTATGCTTTATTAATGCATTAAATAATATAGACTGGCAGGCTTATTAACAAACCACTGTAATTTCCAAGTAGCAATGAGTGCACATGATATTTGAAGATAACTGCAATTACTTGCAATGAGATTTGAAAATATCCCTGACTTCTATGGGGCCAAAGTCCCAGGGACAGATAATACTATAGTGATTTGTTGCTTAGTTTCATTATGAGAGGAGATGCTGTGTTTCAGGTAGAGATTAGTAAAAACAAAGATTCGATTTTTTTTTCTCACCCAAGTCACAGACTTCCTAAATTATCTTCTTGGACCCCAGGTTAAGAACCACCACCCTGGATTGCTGGCCTCTCTCTCTTTTTGTCAACACCTGCACTATCCGTAGCTAGCTTCTTAAATACTCTTACTGTCTTGTTATGATGAACAGCCCAGAGCTACTTAAACTTGGCTGTGTGGTGGATGTAGCAGTAACCCTCTCCCCTCATGTTAGGAGTGGTCTGCTTCATGCAGATCTTGGTGTCTAATTTATGGCTTCAGTTCGACCCAACCAGAGAAAGCTTCCCCACCATAGGCTTTGTCCAGGGTCTCCCCTTGTATTATGAGTCCTTAGAAATTATACTTTTTTTCCCCCCTTCCATCTGCTCTATCCTCTCTCCCAGCTGTGAATTGCCTCCCAATCCAGAACATATGGGAGCAATGGTTAGTGCCGTGGCAAGCTTTTTAGCAACTTGCAGAGAGACGATTACAGAGTGAACTGTTCAGTTGAAGAGACATTTCTGCCGATACTCCTCAAGCTAAGAATCCATTTTCTCCATACGTGCGGTCCACAGCTGTGTCTTTACCCCTTCTTCACTCAACCTGTTTCCCTCCTGAGCCTTCTTTTACCTCTAGCCGGCACAGAGGGACTCCAGCAGGATTCCAGAGTCTCTGACCACGAGCTATGCTCGTGGGGCGGTTTGAACCCCAGGGCAGGCTCAGAGCAGCAGTTTCCATACTGACTACTCTCACAAGAGACCCTCAAATTCCTTTTGGGCCCTTTTAAGGGGTGGAGGAGGAGGAAGAATTTGGAGGGTGGGTATAGGTGAGAAATCAGACTTTTAAATGATCTTTTATAGTACTGTACCCATCTCATTTTCTGTCCTCGTCAAGGTGGGTCTTGACCTTGGCCTGAAATGCTTGTTGGAGATGTTGTCGGGCTTTGGAAATACTCTATGAAAGCAACCTGCTCCAAAGGGCATGGGCTTTGGGGTTGGGCCTTTTCTGAGCCAGGCACCAGCCTTTGTTGCTGAGCCAGTCTTGGAAGACCAGGGCTGTGCTTCCACTCGAATCCCCTGGGAGGTGTTAGCTATTCCTCATCTAAGCAGTGGTTCCCAGAGCATTACCACGAATTGAATGTTTTTCTACTCTGATTACAGATGTTTAACTTCTTTAAAAAAAAAAACAAACACTCGAATAAAGTAAAATGTTTCCATGTAAAAAGCTTTGACAGGGAAATGCTGAAACCAGATCTGCCTTGAGACTGTAACACCAAATACTTCAATGCTTCCTCTAAATATAGTCTACTTTTAATTATCCACACTCTTGCAAGAAGGCAGGGGCGTGGATAACCCGAAAGTCATTGTGGTTTGGTTTTAGAATATCTGCTTGATGTTTGGCTTTAAGGTGGGTATGTCTAATGGAATAAATGATGCTTCACATTTATTTCATTACATTGCATTTTGAAGGCTTGACTCATAAAGCATATTGTCTGGTTTCATCCTCGTGGTCCTTCTGTTTAGGATTTTCTCCTCTTTACCCAGAAGATGGTTTCACCCTCACCTCCTGCAGTCCAGCCTCCAACCCCCAGCCCCTGGTCCCCAGCCAGTATTACATGCCAGTCAGCACTGAGCTGTCCTTTCTCCGTAAAATCACCCAAGTCTTAACCGTATACATGGAGAAAATATAATGCTAATTTGTGATGTTCTGACTTTTTCTCAAACAAATGTTAACAGTTCTGAGCTGAGTCCCTGGAGGCAGAGAGCCTATGTTTGAATCCCCACTCTGCCATGTATTACCTGTGTGACCTTGGGCAAGTTACTTAACTTCTCTGTGCTTTAGTTTCCTTATCAGTAACATGAAGATAATAATCGTACGTAACTCCTAGGGTTGTTTTGAAGGTTAACATTTCCAAGGCACTCTAGAGCAGTGCCTGGCATTTAGTAAGTGTATGTAAGCATTTGCTGCTGTTAGTATTTCCGTGGAATAAAAAGAAATGTGTTATAATTTCCTTAATTTATTCAGTAAATATTTCTCAAGCACTTAGAATTGCACAAAGCCTTCTAACTCTAATGCCATAAATAAGAACATGGAAGGAGATGATCTAAAGGAGGGGAGGGGCAAATGTAACCCAGATGCTCTAGATGTATTTTTTTTTTCTTCAAGTTCTGCGAGTGGCCGTGGCCAAGAGTGTGTCTGTGGCCGAGGGAAAGGAGCTGGATCTGACCTGCAACATCACAACGGACCGAGCAGATGATGTCCGACCCGAGGTCACGTGGTACTTCAGCAGGTCCCCCGACAGCATCTTGCCTGGCTCGCCCGTGTTGGCGCGGCTGGACCGGGATTCCCTGGTGCACAGCTCTCCCCACATTGCTTTGAGCCATGCGGATGCACGCTCCTACCATTTACTGGTCCGAGATGTTAGCAAAGAAAACTCTGGCTACTATTTCTGCCACGTGGCGCTCTGGGCACCCGGACACAACAGGAGCTGGCACAAGGTGGCAGAGGCCAGGTCTGCCCCGGCCAGTGTGGATGTGACCTGGCTAGGTGAGTGGCTGGGAAGATGGCCCTTAGCCTCTGGGACTTTCCTCCCTCCTCTGGGCACTGCGCCTTTTTGCATCATCTTGGCCTTCTTTACATCAGGACAAGCATGCTTTAGCCTGGAGAGATCCCAAGCTTGGGGGGCGGGGGGGTGGTGGGGAGAAAGCAAAGCAGGCTGAAATAGAATCTGGCAGGCAAGAGAAATGTTTAGATAATGTGGACTCAGTTGTCTCAATGCCCTCATTTGAGAGGATATAGTTTCCTTTTGTTGTCAGGATTTGCAGGGTCGGCCCTGCTGAATGGTTCTTTGAAATGGATCTTTGTTGGAGTGAGAACACTTCCATTCTTCCTTTCCTTTTCCTAGACTCTGAGGTGCTCTCTGGCAGGAGCTGGTGCTTTCCTAAAGCCCAGATCAGAAAAGAGAATTCCTTCAGTTAACGGAATGTGGTGTTTTTGGTGGTTTGTTGTTTTTTTCTTTTTTTTTTCCTGAGGTCCCTGGAATCCCAAAATGATTTTATTTGCAGATACCAGTTAAATGGAAGAGCCTTCCTGCCCCACCCCGGCTGTCCCGGTGGGGGAGCAGAGTGGCTCTCAGCTGTTGGCTACTGTGGCCCTCACTTTAGAACAACTTGGCTTATATGTGAAATTATCATGCCTTTCTTTCATTCTCATCTTCCCTGGCCCGTATTTTCCTAAGTGCTTGCCCTTCAGGCCCGACTTTCTAATTTCTGTTACTGTCTTTTTTTTTAAAGATTTTATTTATTTATTTGATAGAGAGAGATCACAGGTAGGCAGAGAGGCAGGCAGAGAGAGAGAGAGGAGGAAGCAGGCTTCCTGCTGAGCAGAGAGCCCACTGCGGGACTCGATCCCAGGACCCTGAGATCATGACCTGAGCTGAAGGCAGAGGCTTAACCCACTGAGCCACCCAGGCGCCCATAATTTCTGTTAGTGTCTTATAATGACTTGCTGGTAAGCTTAAGCAGGATAGGGGTGAGTGGAGGATGGGGTGCTTCACCTCCCACATCTGCCGTTACAAAGGTGGAGATTCCTCTGTTTTGAGCTTGATCTCTCTGCTGTCCCGTGACTGTTCTGAGCCCCGATGTGGGTATTTGGCAATGCTCTGACGTTAGTAGGTAACCCAGACCTTTAAAGGCCAGGAAATCATTTCCTCCATCATCTGGTGCTGAGTGTCCTCCCACCGTGACCACCCCCCCCCCAATCTCCCAGGTCACTCTTCCTCATCCCTGCATCACAAACTCCCGGGTTAGTGGCCCTTTCGCTGTTTCTTCCTAGTGAGCCTTTATTTGGCAGAGAGGGGGAGTTGGCAAGTGTGGGGACAGAGGGGGCAGGGAGAAGAGGAGGAATAAGAGAGTGAGCAGAAGGTATGGCCAATTCCGAGTGAGCCCAGGCAGGGTGTTAATCATCCCTGGTAGCAAAGTGATTTTTTGCTATCTGCACAGTAAAGGGAGCAGGATTTATCTGGCGAGCTTTTATTCCCGCCGTCTGAACCCTGTGCGAGAGTCTCGCTATGGAGTACTGAACTGGAACAATGCTGGCCCAGCTAGAACTCTCCTTAGCAACCTTCAAAATAAAACAGATGTTGTCAGCACCGAAAGAAGATTTTTCATCTCTGGAGCTGAATTTGTCTCTCGGCTCTGATGCTCGGTGCATTGTGTGGTGCTGTCAAATCCCAGCACCGGCTCCCGGTACCCCCTCCCCGCCCCCCAGCCCCCAACATAGAATCACAGCTCCCGTGGAATTTTTTTTATTTTTTATTTTTTTAGAAAGCGCTGCCTGCACTCCATGGTGAGGGCCTCTTTGAAGTGCTGGTGCACTGATCCTGGCGTCGCCCGGGGGAGACGCGGGGACTGTCAGAAAGTGGGAGGGTTGCTCCGGGAGGGAATGGGGCTCTTTTCACCGGAAAGAATTTGTTGGTGGCTCTGTTCTTCAGAGAGTGAGAAGACATAAAGGGACTAAATTGTGGGGAAAGGCTCCATTATGATCCTGAGGACCCATTGCTCATTTTCCTGCGGAGTGCCATCACCCCTGTCGCGAAAATCCGCAGTGGGCTTTACCTTGACCGCTGGAAGGGGCACAGAACCCGCACCTTACATGGCTGTTTTGCACGTGATGAGCCCTTGGTAAACGTTGGCTGAATGGGTAGATAAACCTGGATAGTGTGCAAGTGTGCGCATAGGAAGATGAGAACTGCAAAGAAAGCAATCACATTCAACTTACAGACTGTGCAGAGATGTTTGCACCTGGGTAAGTCTCCTGGGCGTGGAAGCGGTAGAGAAACTGCCCTCATTCTTCTTTCTTCCTCTTAAATCTCCTCCTCCTTCCCTGCACCTCACACTGTTACAGCTGCTCAGACACTTGTTCAGGAGGTGAGTCGGGCATGAGTCCAGCAGCTGACCTTCTCCAGTACCTCCGGTCTGAATTCTGTGCCAAGATGGGTGGGCCTGGCCTGATGCCACATGATTGTCTCCAGATACACATGTATGTGGGTACCTTACCGCCTGCGTCTTGGGTCCTGTCGGAGGTGACTGAGAAGTTTCCGAAAGAGACAGGAAGACAGGTGACCGACCAAGGACTCTGCTTATTTGGTCATCTTACCTGATGTGATTATGGGATGTTGGCACAAAAGAGTTCTGGAGAAAGTTGGTTTCCTGTGCAGGTGTTATCCAGAACTTTCAGTTTTGCTGCTTGATAGATTAAAAATCATAATTACTGCTTATCAAACACTTGCTGTACACTGGGCCCTGGACTTAAGGGCTGCACATGCATTAAATATCTGATCCCCACAATAACCTTATGAGTGAGGTACTGCCCCTATTCCCATCTGAAAACCACTGATTTTTATTTTGCTTATGATTTTAACAGTCAGGATTTAGGGAAGGACTCAACAGGGTTCCTCTCTCAGGCACACAGGGACGGCTGGGGATCCTCTTCCGGATGGCTTTCTCATGCGCATGATGCCATGTCCCCCGCCCTCTCCCCCTCTCCACGCAGCATGTCATTCGGGCCCTTTCCACATGGTTTGGGATTCTCCCAGCATGCTGTGCTCGGAACAGTCACACTTCTTAGGTGGTGACTGGCTTCCAAGAGGCAGGAAGTGGAAGTGCCCAGCCAGCTGAAAGCTGTCCCGGGGTCTTGCACAGTGTTACTTTGGCTGTTTTCTACAGGTCAGAGCCATCCCGGTGTTTGCCCAAGTTCAGGGACGCAGAGGGAGACCCCATCCCATCTCTTAATGAGAGAGTGGCAAGGTCACACAGCAAAAGGGCATGAGGGATTGGAAACAGAACTGCAGATGTCTTTGGAAAATAGAATATACCAAATGGTGAATGCTTGTTTCTTTTATTTCATAAGAAATGTTTACAGTGACTTAGAAAATGATGCCCCAAAGTCAAGTCTGTCCCAAGTGTTGTCCTCTTGTGTGGAAACATTTTGGCTTTGGGAATCAACTTTATTCCTGAAACGCTAGAGCATAGAGTCCTCAAAGCCCCAGAGGGGGCTTTCTTGTCCTTATTTGCTTGGGGTTGGTGCAGAGAACAGATGAGGGAGCCGAAGCTAATTGGGGTCTTCTCATACATTCCATCGTGTTAACCAGACAGAGATCAGGGCAGCGATACGCACAGGTCCAGTGAGTCCAATAGCACTTGCAGCAGCTGGGATGACTGTGTCGGTTTTGTAGAGGGTAAGAAAAAGCTTCTTTTACTAGGATTTATGTCCTACTTTTGCAGGAGGGAAAAAAATTCAGTTGGCTTGCAAAACGAAGCCCGATTTAAAGTAAGAGACATAAAAATAAAATCAAGATCAAAGGGGGTAAAACCAAATCAAAGAGGAGATATCGCAAGGTGGTTGGGGTGCATTTTGTTAGCCACACTGGAGCGCTGAATTTGCCTCTGAAGTTCTGAAGAGTCGGGGCAAAGAGAAACGTGGTTGCACGGTTCACCTCTGATGAAGGAATCTGGGAGAGCCAAACTTTGTGTTGGCACCAAATTTATCATGCGCTTTTTTTATGTAAGGGCATTGGGTAACATAATGGACAGTGCTTTCAACTGTTCTTTTATGAAAGGCTCTGAGTGATTGTTTAAATGGATGTTTCTCATATCCACTCTCTATAAAAGCTGAGGGTGTAAATCTTGAGTGTGTGAAGGAGTTTCTGTAAGAAGCTGAGTTACCACGGAAGACAAACGTTGCATTGTGTCGATCCAATTTAGTCTAGGGCTAAAACTAGAGAATCTAAGGAGGCAGGGCTACCTAATCTGCATAGTAGGCCATCTCTCTCTGCAATCAGATGTCTCAAATGAGTCTTTGGCACGAGTTGGATACTAATCAGTTTATGGTTGAGCTCTCTGCCCAAAGTACCAGGCTTCTGTGGTGTTAATTGGAGGGCGTTCCAGGGTTTCAGCTACAGGAGCAGGAAGAGGCAGAGCTGAGTTGGGCTTTTTAGTCTTAAGAACCTGATTTGCATTCTTCCCCACTAGAGGACTGTCCCCTCTTCCAGCAGTGTGCCAGGAGGAAGGTAATTATTTTTCTTTAAAAGGAGCTGCTAATCTGCTCAGTACTTGGTAGAGACTTCAGAGTCCTGTGCTATCCATAGGAGATAAGGTTCAGATCTGCAGAACCTTACGGGCAGCTCTTATCAACTCTCTGTCCACAGTTATCTCGGAAGGCAGAGTAGCAGTGGGCAAGTCCTGGGTTCCTGGCCTACTGCTTTCTGGGCATGTGTTAGCTTGGGTGTGTTGCTTTGGTTTCCTTGGTTCCACGGGAGAACGCATGTGAAGTGCTTAGCGCAGTGTCTGGCACCCGAGGTCTCTGTACTTTTGCAGGGTGGTGATAATGACATTGGCGTTTGGGGGCAAGGCAGGGTCAGTAGGTAGCATATCCTTCTGCACCAAGTTCTTACCTAACTAAGACATGCAAGTCTGTCTCAAGGCACGGAAGGACTACGGGTGTGTGTTCTGGAAGCAGCTGCCCCCAAGGAGAAGGGACTAGGCTGA